CACTCTTTCAGGAAGCAGAAGACCTGAGTCGATTTTCAATAATTTGAAAGAACTGTGATAACAAGTAGCAGTATAAAACAATGTGAGAAAATGCTGAAATACTTTGCATCCAGCAGCTTGACAGGATATGCCTTGAACCCAGTATCAGTGCTCACAGATGTAGCCAGAAATCCTTCTCCCTGTCTCCTTTCATAGGAGATGCAATTGTAAAAACTCATCACTCTGCATCATCTCCTTTAGATTTAGCATCCCTCTAGGAAAGAGAGTTCATCACAGTTTAGGACCGAATCTGATTTCACTCTAAGTTTATCCATCATTACCAGAATACATTGTTTCCTTAACAGGACAAGGTAACAAAAGGCATGTGTGCTAAACAGACCGTGAGGGCCCACACTCCTTACACTTCAGGGAAAATAATTTCTTGGAAATATTATTTAAATAAAGAACGTGCCATCTGCTACAGTCTTTAGGGACAATTTCCATTTTAGTAAAGCTAATTAAGTGCAGATTAAAATACAGAATTACTGAAAATCACTTTGCTGTTTTTTTAAGGATTTTTTATAGGCTTGAACTCTATTTCCACTTACATGGATTAAGTTTTACACAGCCCATAGTATTGCCTGTTCTGCCTTGCCTACTTACATAGCATTTTCAAAACAGACCTCAGAGTTTGTCTCCTTTACTATATCTAAAATTCATGGCTAAAAAGAGATACCCATTCCAAGGCATGCTAGAATATTCAGTCTTTCCTAAAGGGCTCATTTAACAAGTTTTCCAGATTAGTCTACTTAAAATAAAGCCCCTGGGATTTATAATGCATCTGATACTGTGGGTGCTAATAAACAGCACAATAAGGTTCTGTAAGTTATTACTGCTTTTTTTGTTATAATTATTTTTTTAAACTGAACACAGACAATAGCTGGAAATGCACAGATATATTTTTCTTCTAAGCCAATAGCTGGAAGTTCTTTAAAAAACATTATCTAATGTTTTACTTAGGAGTGCAAGAGAGGACAGAAATATCATCATGCTAACATAAAGGAATCAGTTAAATACGTGGTTCCCATTTTAAAAGCCTTTCTCTTTAAAAATGTGAACCACAGTCTTGTGGATATATAATCTTCTAATTCAATTTTAAATCTAGCTTTCATAGTTCTGTCTCTATGATGGAGGAAGATGGCTTAGAGGGGCCTGACCCTGTCCCATCAAAGGCACCTGACTGCCTGTCAAATGAAGCAAGATGACAGATTTAAGCATGAGAGCACAAAGATAACTTCTGCTTGAATTACCTGGTGCCAGTAAGCCCTGAAGAAACCCGGATCTGAGAAAACAATCAATGTTACTCAAGTCAAGATTTTTGCTTATTGGTAAAAGGATCTTCTTTCTTTCCCAATCAAACTGAAACTCATTATTTGGAGTTCACCTGATAGGCCAGAGCAAAGCCACTTCCACAGCAGACAACGCTTGAGGGGAGTCTGAACAGATCATACCTACATTATGGGGAAGGAAGTTTCCGGACACAACTCATGAGCCTCTCTTAATAGGTTTAATCCAATTCCCACTGAGCCAGCTGGAATTACACCACCCTTTCAGTAGTTCTACACGAAATTCTATGGCCACTACTTTATACCAGCTTGAAAGCCAACCTGTTTGTACACATACAGACACAATCATACCTTTCAGCACAGATCTCACTAGCACATCATTAAGCTAACTACAAATCATTTTTCCTTCTCCTCTTTCTTGCTGAATCAGCAAGGTTTTCCTGGAAATGTGTCTATAGCTGTGCTATGAAATTCATGCCTTAAATTGCAGAAATAATGTCTTTTTCTCAACCAGTTTTGTTTTGCTTCTCCTCTGGAACAGCCCACCCACTCAAATTGCTGAATGCCTTTTGTGAAGTCTTCACTAGAAAAAGTTCTTCATTAAAGCCCCCTCCATCTGGTAATTATATATGCAAGATAATAACTTTCAGAGCACTCCCTTCATCCTTCTCAGCCCCAAGGCAAATCTTTAATTTCTTCATTCTTCCCTCTACATCTTTGCCCCCTGACCACCATCACTAACAGTGAGGTCCTTTGTGTAGCCCCCAAAGGAGGAAGGGCCAGAACAGCAGAGCTGGTGAGGATAGCCCTCTTCCATGCTAAGCTACATGAAACTAATGAGCTAGTCAAGATGCCAGGAGAGCTCTCCAGCTTTAAAACTGAATTTTAAAAATTGCCACTGAATAGGGATGATGTCTGCAAGCTCTGCTGCTAGGTGTGCCCAGGCACAATAGCTGAAGACTAAGCTCCCACAGGTCCATGTGCTATTTGTAGCCACACCAGGCTGATGACAGGAGCTCATGCAAATGCTCATAAACCATGCATTAAAACCCCATCAGTTCAAAATATCTCCAGGAAGAGTTCATTTCTATTTCATTTGACTACACTGCAAAGGGGGCAGGAAAAGTGAGTGATTAAATCTCTGGAATTTTCATACAAAAGGCAGCTCTCTACTAAAGTGTAGTTAGAAAGGAAATAAACACCCCAGTAAAACAGCGCTCTTGCCACTTTTTCATTCCCAGTGACCTAGAATATCCCAAGCAAGCAGGAAATAAAAATTCCTCACCTCTACCAGCATCCCAATTGCTGGTACAAATAGAAATAAAGCAATATAGTGTTCCAAACAGCTTGGTATGTCTTGGTGTCCAAATATATTTTAAATTATACAGGTGTGTAAGAATT